TTTGCTTTAAAATTATGGCCTCCCCAAGGTAACCTCTTTTGGTCTCATGTGCTCTTCCTCAGTTTTACCAACATCTCTGTATGGACGCTCATTCTTCTCATTCAATAATTTTTATTGAGAATCTATTTTGTATCCGGCATTGTGTCATTCTCTGTGGGCAAAAAGATATACTTCCTGTCCTCAGAGAATGGAAGAGAGTCCAGAGTGAAAGATAAATATTAACAAAAGAATCACTCAAATATATTTATAATTTCAAAGTGTAAAAAATGCTATATAGGGAAGTAAATGAGCACTGAGGGCATATAAAAGAACACGTGGGTAGGGCTCAGGTGGGGTCAGTGTTAGGGAAGGCTTTGCCAAGGAGTGATTTTTGAGCTTAATAAGAATAAGAATAAGAGTAGGTCCACTAAGGGGTGCCTGGGTGGCTCAGTCAGTTAAGCGTCCCACTCTGGATTTCAGTTCAGGTCATGATCTCACAGTTCGTGTCAGTTTCCTGCTTGGGATTCTCTCTCTTTCTCTCTCTCTGCCCCTCACCTGCTCATGTGTACTCTCTCTCTTTCAAAATAAATAAACAAACATTAAAAAAAAAGAACAGTTAAAAAAAAGAATGGGTTCACTAAGCAAATCATGTCTCAGTTACAGTGGCAAACATGTGAATAGACCATATGGTGAGAATAAGATGTGTTCAAGGAAGTGAAAAGCTCTATGGTTGGTATGAATGAAACCAGATTCATTCATTGGGTTTCTTAAGATTGGGTGACTTAAACAACAGAAATTAATTTTCTCACAGTTCAGAATGCTGGCATAGCCTGGTTATGGCAAAGGCTCTTGTCCCATATTGCAGATGGGCACCTTCTCACTGTGTCTTCACATGGCATGTATAGGGGGAAGGGGGGAGGAGGAGGAGGAGCAAGAGTGGATATACATATATATATATATATAATATATAATATATAATATATATAAAATACAATACATATTAATATAATATATGATATCATGTACAATATAATATATATTATATAATATACAATATAATAATATATAATGTATATATAATATTATATATATGTATATATATCTTCCTTTTCTTATAAGGCCACAGTCCTACTGGATTAGGGTCTCACCCTTATGATCTCATTTAACCTTAACTATCTCCTAAGTACCCGGTCTCTACATATAATAACACTGTCAGCTAAGATTTCAATAAATAAACTTTGGGGGAATACAATGAAGTCCATTGCAAAGACCACTAGAAAGTCATTGAATAATTTACAACAGTGATTTACAACATGATCACATTTCACAACATGATCACATTTGAAAATGTGATGCAGGGGATAGAATGGACATAAGAGGGGCAAGAGAAGACACGGGGGCCACTTAAGAAGTCTTTGTAGTAGTCCAGTTAAATTCACACTGAGCTTATTGCAGTGTCATTGGAAAGGTGAGCAATTCAAGAGTGATACAGGAGATAAAATTGAGATGGTATAGCAGTTCATTTGAAATGAGAATAAAGTTATAAGAGGTATCAGGGATAGTGTTTAGGTTTCTAGATTGTTCAACTGAATGGGTGATGAGCCATTCAAAGAGATAAGAGACACTGGAAGAAGTCTAAGTGTGGGGGAAAGATCATGAGCTCAGTGTGGTACATGGTACATTTCAGGTACTTTTGAGAGAGTAAATATTAATATTTAACACTTTTCAATGATAATGGTATTTTATCAGAATAGTTAATGCTAAAACAAATACCCTCTAAATACCAATGCTGTAACATAATAAAAGTGTTTTGTTTATATCATAGCTTGATGTGGTACTCCTTGGATCCTTGAGATACTCCTTCAAGCAGTGAGTGACTCAGGGATCCAAGCTCCTTCCTTCTTGACATGCTGCTTCTGAGATCACCATGAAAAGAAAAGAGAGAATATGCATAAGTGTACAAAAGATTTGATGGCCTGGAATGGCATACATAACTTTTGCCTTATAACCCACTCAGCATACAGTTACACATCCTATCTAACTTCGGGGGAGGCTGGGAAATATCATTTTTCTATGGGCCAAGAGAAAGAAAATTGTATTAGTGAGCATCTTTGCCACATTAACTAGGTGCTAGTCACTGTATGTGTTTTAATGCATTCAATCCTCACATCAATCAAGGTAGATACTATATTACCATCTCCATATAATAATTTAAATAAGCAAGGTGTAGAGACTTTGAGTAACTTGCCAAGCAAGGGTCACAAAGTCAATAAGGGTAAACGTAGGATTTGAATCCAGATGGTCTGGCTCCAAATACCTTTTAGCCAGTGCATAATGCTGCCTCTTAAAGTTGTGATACAGTATATGGTAGCACATATAGGTCTAAAGTTCAAGAAGAAATTTTTATCGAAAATAATAAATTTGGCAGTCATTGGTATAACTCGGATTGCCAATCTCAGCAGTGTTGACATTTTGGGCCAGATGATTTGTTGTGGGGGGCTGAACCATGCACTTTAGGATGCTTAGCAACATCCTTGACCTCTTCCCACTAGATGCCAGTAGCATTCTTTTCTCAGTTGCAATAACTAGAAATGTCTCCAGACATTGTCAGTGTTCCCTACAGGGCAAAACTTCCCCTGGTTGAAAATCACTATTATAACTGAACCATGAGTACGGATAAAGTTGTTAAAAAAAAGTATATAGTGAAAAGAGATAAGGGGATAAGACCAAGTCTTAATGAACTCCAAAATGTAATGGCTGCAAAGGAAGATGGGCCAGTAAAGGAAACTGAGAAGGAATGGCCATACAGGAGGAATCTCAAAAGGGTGAGAAAAACTGAAGGAAAAGGATGCTGCAAGGAAGAATGAGAGGTCAAGAGTGTTAAATGCTGCCAAGAGATCTTGTAAGAGAAAGACTGAAAAATGACGATTACACAGCATGTGACGGTCACTGGTCACCTTAGCAAGAGCTATTTCAGTTAGTTAATAGGAAAGAACCTAGAAGAGAGGGGACTGAAAAATTGAAAGTGGGATGTAAGGAAACTGACACAGCAGGTATTGACAACCATTTGGAAAGAAAGGAGATGCAGTAGCTGGAAGGTGTTGTGGAGTCACAGGGCGATTTTTTTTTTTCTTTTTTTTATCATGAAAGAGACTTGAGAAAGTTTAAAAGTTGATGTATGGTTCTAGTTCCTTGAGTTAACATGAAATAAAGAATAATCAGTAGCATATTTAAGGTTCCTAAGAAAGCACAGATGAACTCTAGGTTGGGGTGGAAACGGGTTCTCTCTTGTAACAAAAAAGATAGTGCCCAGTATGATGCACTTTCCAGCAGACACTTCACACTTAGCATTTCTAAATAAGAACTCAATATATTTCCCACAATATCTGCAACTGCTCTTAATTGCCTAATATTAATAATATTGCCATCCTCCTCCTAAACTAACCCATGAAACTCTTCTTTCTCTTCTTCATTCTGTTCCCAAAATCTATTCCATTACCAATGTTTATTGATTCTACCTTTGTAATGTATCTTGAAGCAGAGCCCTTCTTTTATTTCCATTGCCAAAAAATAAGTGCATATTTTTATTACTAGCCCAAATGTCACTTCCTTCTTGAAGCCTCCCTTATTTCTCCCAGCCAAATGAATTTTTATGTATTTCACAGCATTAAAAGAAAAAGAGAAGTCTCAGAGGCATTATTAAAATAAAAATTATTACATTAGTATGTCATGAATCATATTCACGAGTGTTCTGTTACTCAAAACATTTCATTTTTTTACAATTCTTAACAGGGCCTTTCTTTCTTCCTTTTTTTATTATTAAAAAATGTGTTGCAAATATTAGCTCTTACACACCTGGCTTAAGTACAATACATAAAACAGCACCCCAATTGTCAAATAAATGTGGATTCACTACATCCACCAAATCAGCCTTGTGGATGGTCTAATATTTAGCAATGTAATGCATTTGGGGAGAGGATCTAAATTTTGGATCACCCTACTTTTTTGGTTGGCTCCACCTGAACTGTATTTTCAGAACACCAACAGGTAAGTATTACTCAGAATCAAGCCAGTCCTTTAACCCAGTGCCTTGAGTTGAAGCAACTGGAGAAGGAACAAAAGGATAAAATGACCTGGCTCTGGTTGATCTGCTTTGATATCAGATTTTTGTTTCCAACGTAACATGTTGGTTGCCCACTACTTTTCAGTTCCTTGAGTAGTTCAGTTTATCTTTGTTCTTTGCAAACTTCACAGAACTCCAGTGAAAACTAATTTTTACTAAAGTTTGACGAGCTATTTCCCGATCCTTTCACTTTTTTTGGTTATAATTTACTCACCAAGAGGAAAGCTTCAGATTATCTGGTAAAATCCATTCAGACTGGCCAGTTGGAGTAGACACGAACAATTCGCGCTGACTCAATTCTCCTCTTACCTTCACATCTTCCAGTTCCGCAGGCTGCTTTCGCCGGCTGGTTAGTCACCCAGTGCACCTGGCCCTGCCCCCCTCAGGTCCCCTCCCCAGTGGCGCGCGAATAGCCTGGTGTAAAGTGCGGCTAACAGCCTCACGCTCCTCCCAGGCGTCCGTTCCACGCCCCGCCCCCTAAAACGCGAGGCCACGCCCCTCGTGCTGCGCGCCTGGTTCTCCGCCCCCCTTAGCTCCCCCCAACGTCCCGGCGTCGGGCCCGCTGAGCTCAAGTGCTGCCTGCGCGTGCGCCCTGGGGCCGAAGTAGGGGCGCGCGGTGACTGGAAAGCGGAGAGCGGCGGGCGGTACAGCCAATGGGAGGCGTCGCTGGCTAGCGGCTGGAAGGCGGGGGCCTGCGTTAGGTTACGCTTAGTAACTACTTAATAGTAGCAGAGCGAGGGATGGGAGCGCGGCACAGAGAGAAGGATCGGCTGGGCGGCGCGGACTCGGAGCCCTTGCACTTTTTCGTCCCGGAGGCCTCCCACCTCCACTCCACACACCCTGTTTGCCCGTGAGCCTGGGGAACTTGCAGCTTAAAGCCAGCCACCCCCACGGCAACATGTACCCCAGCAACAAGAAGAAAAAGGTGTGGAGAGAGGAGAAAGGTAACTGGCCCGTCGAGTCCTGGGGCTGTGGGGGGTGGGAGTCGGGTGGGGGTGGGGGTCAGGGCTGTGTGTGCCGCGGCGCCCCCCGCCCGAGCTCCCGTCTCGCGCCTGCCCGGCCGGTGCCGCCTCCCTCGCGTGTCCGTGTGTACACACGCGCACACGCGCGCGCTTACCGGCGTGCACGCGCCGCCCCCGGGCACCTGCAGCTCGCACACGTGTGGGCGCACGCCCCTCTGCTGCCTGCCGCGCCCGGTCACCTTCTTCCCATGCGGGGCTGCCTGCGCCTGGCTGGTGGCGGAGACCCCTGAGCGGCAGTTCCTGGGCCGCAGCACAACTTGTTCAGGTCCCCCACCCTCTCCTGGGACCCCAGCTGGGACTTTTGGACTCCTGGCCAGGTTGTCCCAGGCACACGTGCCCGCCGGCGGGCACATTAGCTGCTGCAGCTGCTGCGCCTTCGCGCCCAGCTGACCCTCAACTATTCACTCCTCGCCTCTAGCCCCCCACCCCCTAGCTAGTAGAGTGTCTGCTCTTTCGGGCGTTTACCCCGTCTCCAGGCCTCTTCCTTCTGCGCCGCAGTGTGACTTTGGAAACCTGGAACTCTAGGGGAAACTGAAAACGGGCGTCTTGTCCGCGAGGATAAGAGCTTTCAGAGAAGTCTGAATGGGCTTTCTCTGCAGTGTGTTTCTCTGTATTTCATCCCCATTCGTAATCTGAAGCTGCTCAGAGTAAGGTTGTGAAACTGATACCGCTCTCCATGAATGAGCTTCCCTCTGAATTTTGTGCACATCAAAGCTCATCCAAATCAGCTAGATTGACAGTGGCACTGATTTCTGTAAGACAGAAGTGTGCGAACCAACCCTCTCTTCTCTCTTCCTCTCCCCTTTTTCTCTGGCATCATAATTAGATAAATCTGAGATAAAACTTTAGTGTCTGGAGTTGTTTCATTCTTTTCACACTGTAGCTTTTTACAGAAGAGTAGCAAAGAGAACTTGAATTGCTACTGCTAACATAGATTAAACCTGTGTACCAGAGTGAGGTCAGGTGAGGGTAGTGCAAATTTCTCCGAAGAATCCTATCTTTTTATTAGAAGGATAATGGAGTGACTAGGTTGAAAGTTGATTTGCTTGAAAATAGTTCTTAAAACTTGTAGATTATTATTGCAAGCTCTGGCTTTTATGAACACTAAGGCCAAACAGTGGACATAAGGAAGAGAATGAATGTGGAAAAAGAATCCTTTATGTAAGGCCTACTTAAAATAATTCCGAGGAAGGGGATGAAGGAAGGATTCTTTTTTTAAGTGAACTACTGGGAAGAGTTAATATAATTGAACAATCCAAGTAAAATGGTCTCTAAAATATTGAAAGATTGGGTTGTATGTCATTTAATTCTATCTTAATGATCATGGGCTTATATAGAAGTAAAAATTCTGGGGCGCCTGGGTGGCGCAGTCGGTTAAGCGTCCGACTTCAGCCAGGTCACGATCTCGCGGTCCGTGAGTTTGAGCCCCGCGTCGGGCTCTGGGTTGATGGCTCAGAGCCTGGAGCCTGTTTCTGATTCTGTGTCTCCCTCTCTCTCTGCCCCTCGCCCGTTCATGCTCTGTCTCTCTCTGTCCTAAAAATAAAATAAAACGTTGAAAAAAAAAATTAAAAAAAAAAATAAAAAAAAAATAAAAAAAATAAAAAAAAATAAATAAAAAAAAGAAGTAAAAATTCTGGTGTCACAAAACAAATGCTGTTGAAAATAATAGCCTGGTAGATATAAATTAGTGTAAAATAATCTTTGTTTTTGCAGTAGTAGTTACTTTAGTTTCAACACACTTTTAACAATGATTTACCTTGTAAGCATTGAAAGATCGTCTGTGCCCATTTTTGTTGATGGTCTTGGAATGTTAGTTTTGTATTGTTAATAAGGCAAAATAGTGGAAATCATGGAGATTGTTTTCAGTACATAATTTATTGATGAAGTAATGATTATTGCTTAGGAACTATTTTTCTGTCATAATAATGTTCCTAAAGTAACAATGTTACAATGGTTCCTTCATTTAACACCTACATATTTGGACTGTGAAGAGCAGACATTTTAGAATCTTTGATGTCTTGATTTTTTTTTTTTTTTTCTTCTAACAGTAGGGGAAAGTACAACCAAATTAATATTTTCTAAATAAAGAAGTAAATGCACAATTAAAGGTATCTAACAAAGTAAATTTCTCCTGTCTAAAACTAACTGTTTTTGCATGAAGTTTAAGGTTAAAGGAAAAACATTGTGATTTGAAGACTTTAATGTATGTCTCAGTTTATCAGGATGTCTATTTTTGGAATATTTAATATTTAAAAAGAAGGAGCTAAGGATTTCCAGTATGGTTGTTACTATTAAAGAAGCTGATGGGGTGCATGACTTTTTTTCTTTCATTGCACTTGTGAGGCTGGTATTATATTTTTGCAGCTGTTACTTAAATCTAAAGGAAGGCTTACCCACCTCATTGAAATGTCAGGGTATTCTGTAAACATACTTTTACTCAGTATGCCATCTAATCGTAGGTCTGCCTACTTATATGCTTGGTTCATAGAGCAGAGATTCATTGTAAAGGTGAAGCATTAAGGACAAATTTTGTGTAATGCTAAAGAAACTGTATAGATGTCTGTGGTCCTCAGTATGTTTCATTGTTGAAACAAATAACTAAGGACTTCTCAAGTCCACATGTGTTAAATAAACTGTTTTGAGCTATAATTTAAAACCACTTAATGTGTATTATAATTTTAAGAACTGAGACATAAATTATCTCATTGTTTTATTTTCTTATTATTGATCTTATTTCTGTTCTAAGTGTCCATACTTAAATGTTTAAATAAATGGAATCACGGAGGCCAGGTTGCCTTCCCGTATTACCTTCTGACATTTACTAAAACTGTGAGTTGCTTCAAAATATCTCTCAACCTGATCACTGATGATGTAATATTTCTGTATTAGTGATCTGAACTTTTTAGTTGTGTTTTGGTAAGTGCTAGTCATCCCTTCTCCTTTGTGTGAGTCTTCCAAATTTATCATTTCCTTAAAGCTTCCTATGCCATTAAGACCCCCCTCCCTTCTCCTACACAAACACATGACATTTCCTTTTAATTCACGGAGAAAATTCATGTCACGTAACACGAACAGCCATAATATCTTCCCCTGTAGTCTCATTTGTCCATTTCTTTACATGTCCTTTGTCTTTTCAGTTCTGTTCCTATCTTAAAGGAAGGACTTAAAAAAAAAAAATGTTTATTTTGAGGTGGGTAGGGAGAGAGGGACAGAGAGGGAGAGAGAATCCCAAGCATGCTCCACACTGTTAGTACAGAGCCCAATGGGGGCTCAATCCCACAAACCAGGAGATCATGACCTGAGCCAAAATCAAGAGTCAGATGCTTAACCAGCTGAGCCACTCAGACTCCACCAATGGCTTATTGATTTTTATTCTTCCTGATCTTCCTGTAGCAATTGACAGTATTTCCCTTCTTCTACTTATTATAACTTTGCCGGTTTCTACATCACTGGCACTTTGATTCACCTGGTACGTCCAGTGACATCTAAGTTTTATTTCATTTTATTTATTTGCATTTAAGTTTCCTCTTTGTGTACACTCCCTGATTATGGTGTTTTGTTTTGTTTTGTTTTGTTTTAGATTTGGTCACATCCCTTACCTTTTCCTATTAACTTCCTTTAGGACCAGAAGTTTGGGTCATAATTTCCAAAATCTCTAAGCTAAACCTCTTTCCTGAATTCCATATTCTTGATTTCAACTCGAATACCCTTTAGGCATCTTACATTCAATACAGTATTGTCCTTTGTGTATTGTAGTGTTGTGATTTGGTTTTATCATATCTAATTAAAATATCTTATTATCATTTAATGTGGCTGAAGAAAAGCCAGTTCTAGGAGTAGGACAAATGTTGGCTCCCCATTTCTTATTCACTTGTACTTATATTAAAACCTTTGGCAGTTTATTTCTGTGAAAGAATCTTTTAAAGTGATTATTTTATGAGAGTTAGACACCTGAAACTAGGTACTATCCTTAAATCCATTCATCTTGTAATCTGCTGACAGACAGTTGGAGAGTACAACTGTCAATCTCTTTACATTGTGTAGACCTTTGGTAAAGTATATGATACATGGCTGCTGGCATACAGAAACACATCGCCTTTTTTGAAGAGCTTTTCCTGTGACAGTAGTACACTATAGTGACTAAGAGTTTAGGCTATAGTTTTTGACTTAGGGAGATATGTGACTGGATTTGAATGGAAAGCTTTCTTGCTTTGGACAAGGTGCTGAACATTGATGTGCTTCATTTCCCTATCTACAAAATAATAATAATACTACCAGCGTGCCTGGGTGGCTCAGTTGGTTAAGCCTCCGACTCTTGATTTTGGCTCAGGTCAGATCTTGCAGTTCTTGAGTTCAAGCCCTGTGTCAGGCACCACATTGCTGACCGTGTGGAGCCTGCTTGGGATTCTCTCTCTGCCCCTTCTCCACTTGTGCGTGTGCGCACACTCTCTCTCAATAAATAAATAAATAAATAAACTTAAAAAACCATCCTTAAAAAATAATAATACCAATTTTGCTGAGTTGTTGGAAAGATTATTTTCATTATATGTGTGAAGTCCTGCCACTCATAAAGAACAGGGGCTTTTTTTTTTTTTTTAAAGTTTATTTATTTTGAGGTGGTAAGGGGCAGAGTGAGAGAGGGGAACAGGATCCTAAGCGGCCTCTGTGTGGAGCACAGAGCCTGATGTGGGGCATGAACTCAAACTGTGAGATCATGAACTGAGTGGAAATCAAGAGCCGGACACTTAACTGACTGAGCTACCCAGACACCCCAAGAACAGTGACTTCTTTGTAAGTGACACCAACTGTTAATAATTCTAAGGTGCATTTGAAGAATATTTTAATCTTACCAAGATGTATATTGCAAGTTGTGTTTAAAAAAAATTTTTTTTTTCAACGTTTATTTATTTTTGGGATAGAGAGAGACAGAGCATGAACGGGGGAGGGGCAGAGAGAGAGGGAGACACAGAATCGGAAACAGGCTCCAGGCTCTGAGCCATCAGCCCAGAGCCTGACGCGGGGCTCGAACTCCCGGACCGCGAGATCGTGACCTGGCTGAAGTCGGACGCTTAACCGACTGCGCCACCCAGGCGCCCCCTGCAAGTTGTGTTTAATCACCTCCACAAAGATATTACATTGAAAGTGTAGTTTTGTTGATGGCATTTTAGAATTAAGGAAATACCTTGGTAGCTGCCTTTCTTGTGCTCTTAACATTTCTATGTATTTGTCTTAGGATTTTGTATTTTATTTATGTAGCAGTTATTTTGTATATTATCCATTCCCGTTTTGTCTTGTGAACTCCTCAAGCTTAAGGATCACCTTTGTACCTGCAGTGTATAAACATTACAGGCACATAGTAGACTGTTAGTAGATGTTGATTGAAAGAGTTCACTTATTTCTTGGTCTATCACAAAAGAGTCTTCCTTATCAGGCTTTGATTCCCCCTCCCTCCCACATGCTCCAGTAACATGGTGTTAACTTAACACTTTTTAACAGTCAAATATGAAATCATTAGATTTTCATTTTGATGTTTCTCAGGCCCACACTAATTCTTTGATTTGTTTATATGATTAATGTTTAAATTATAAAATAATTGCTGAATTTAAAAGTTAAATACAAATGGAGATTCTGCTTTTGTTTTGCAAGAACGTTTACTGAAGATGACCTTAGAGGAGAGACGCAAAGAATACATAAGGGACTATGTTCCCCTGAACACCATCCTATCGTGGAAGGAAGAGATGAAGGGCAAGAGCCAAAATGATGGTAAGTTTCTCAGAACATTTTTAGGTATATACTGTTCCCATTTATTTATGATTTCTGCGAGACAATTTTGATAGAAATGAATAACTGGCATTCAGTAAACAGATGACATTTTTGCTATTTGAAGTAATTGCTTGGTTGCATTTAATTGTTTTTAGCAACCTATTGTGTGTTATTTAAATTTAGGAAATTATATTAACATAATTCATGTTACAATCCACATTTATAATATGACACTTAAAAAAAACTATTCCATAGTTGTTCTTGGAGTAATTAATATTAAGGATTTGGTGCTTTGGTGGTGTGGCCCTTTAAGTTTGTTTTGATTAGATTCATTTGTATTGGATTTCTTTAAGTTATTGTAAGGATTGGATATAGTTGAAAGTGCGTTAGGAAGAACAAAGAAAAACTAGTATTTCACAGAGTTTTAGAGAAGAGTATATGTTTTGTATAGTATGGTATTATGTCTACATGTAAAATATTTGTATTACAAAATTTACTGTCAAAGTCTTTATGATTTAATGAGAGTATAGCATAGATTGTTTGAGTCAAGATATGTGTTAGAATATAAGTGAAATTTTAAGTATTGAAAAAATAGATGCAAGAAATTCTTAAAAAACAATGTAATAGATTTAATAGATACTTATTATGTTTACTTCTGAATTAGCACTCATTGCTCTGGATGTAAAGTTTAGAAGAAATAAGGTGCTTTTCAGGATTTTTAACATTTGAGAAAGAAAGGTAACTTTATGAAAGGGACTTGGAACATGCTAATTTCACAGGTTATGGTCTTCGATTGATGGAACTGTACAGGATACTGTGAGTTTAGAACAAGAAGTCTGGTATGGAATTCCAGTGGACAAATCTATGGGAAACAACAGCCCAATTAGGCTTTTCTGTCTGTGAAGAGAACACATTCACCTTAGTGTTTGCATTTTAGGCAGAATTTTTCTTTTTCAAGAAGGCAAAACATGTGGGTTTTCAGATTTTGCTTGAAAACATATGTGACCTTGGGCAAGTGAAGGTAGTAGTTCTACCTCAAGTTATAATGGGATCATTGGACAAGCTGATTGGGACATACACATCTAACCTGCTTGCTCAGGGTTTTCAGCAAAATAAATGCAAATTATTTTAGTAATGGTCTGATTAAGACATCATTCATTGATAGAGAAAGTAGTGCTGTGTAATGAAAAGAATATAGAACTAGAGACCCAACAGGACAGATTTTTTTTTGTTCCAGGACCATGTGCCTCTTCCTTTTTGGGTCTCAGTTATTCTTTTGTTTGTAAGAAACTGGTATTGAATACTTCAGCTCCGTTATTTTATGGCTAGTAGGTCTCTTTTTTTCCAGTGCTTCATTCATTTAATTTTCTTTCTTAGTTGCTGTTTTAGCTGGTTACTTTTCTAAGGATATAGTACCTGATGTTCTTTTAAAACACTTTTTGCCTCTCAGATAGAGGTGGATTTCTGTTGCTGCCAGAACAATTGACAAAGCAGTAGCGATACCAGGTTATATTGCCCAATGTTGGGTCTGCTCATCTCTGCATTAAGGCTTGGCCTTTATATTGGCTGCTTCTATTTGAATATTCATATAACAGTGTAGGGTTGAATTGGATTATCAGATAACTCACAGTTGGGTGTTTTCAGAGATATCAGACACCAAAATATATCCCCAAATCAGAAAAATACATTGAATAACACCAGTTATTCATTGTTATTCCCTAATTACTCTTATATCCCAATATAAGCTTTATAAGTGGGTTACAACTGCTCTATATATTTCAGTTTTTTCATTCATGCTGTTTGGAACTAAAAGTCTTTCATGGGGAGTGAGGTGGTGTGGTCAAAATTGTATTTCTGTTGAATAGTTTTTTTGTTTTTTCCATCTAATGTTACTTGCTCCTCTGTTGTGACCTAGAAATTAATGACTAGCCTCTTCTTTTTCATGAAAAAAAAAAAAATGGAATGGCTCATTCTACAAGTAATATCTGTTTATTTCTTTACATGATAGATATCTTTTGTAAGTGGTTTCTTTCATTGTTTCCTATCCAGTGCTCAGTTATGCTAAAATATTATTAAAGAGAATTTTAGTATTTTAACAGATCCTTTAAAATTATAAATTAAAACAATGATAAAGAACAACTATAGTTTTGTATTTTGTTTTGAAATGTTTAAACCACTGCTTATAAATGTATATATAAGTAGATTCATATTTTTATAATGACTTAATTTTTTATGTATGAAATTTCCAATTAAGTTTTAAAAGAAGTCTATAATTCTCTGTCATAGTTTCTATTTGTAGGAAATGAACAGTATTTACTGGGCTAGCACAATATACCAATTTCAAGTGTTACAGTTTACCATTATTACTTAAATTTTTATAGAAGGACATTTTGACCTTGATACCCAAGATTACATGGAAAGTTCTCAAGCTGTTGTTTTTAATTTTTTTTCTTTGCTCAGTTTTGTTTTACTGTAATTAAATGCTTTTTGTTATATTGTAGTAAAAAGTTAAATAAGCTGGAGAGTAGCTGAATGTATTTGTCATAATTTTGATTTTGAGGCATCCTAAAGGAGGGAACCAAAAATTGCCAAATATAAAATCATTGTATAGAAAGAAGGAATTCCTATAAATAGACAATATTTTCACTTTGACTTGCTACTCTAGTAATACTGGCAAACTGGCAAGCTATGGATCAGACAGGGAAGGGATGAGAGATGATTACAAAAAAAAAGAAAAAAACCCACAAAAAAACAAACCACAACCCACTTTATTGTTCATGTTCATATTTGTCAACTGCTGTTGGTAAATCTCTGGAATTATGTGCTTTCACTTAATAATTCTATTTCATCTGCCAGTTGCTTTTTTGTAGGGAATTTTTAAGTGCTTGTCTCTTATTATACTGTGTCTCTGTAACTGCAATAGTGCCTCATGGGTAGGTGAGCTCAATTAGTATGCTAAATAAGAACACCTCAGAGGTTAACTGTCTATGAAGGACAATTCTGTATTTTTTTCAAACTTTTAAATGAGCATTTAAAAACATATATAAAAATAGAGTGGTATGATGAATCTTTATGCACCAATCACCCATTTCAACAGTTAAAACATGGCCAATTTTATTTCATCTTACACCAGTGCTTCCAAATTATTTTGAAACAATTCTTGTATATCATATCAAATTTTTCTGTAAATATATGTGTGTTCATATGTATGTATCTCTAAAAGAGACATATTTTTTGTTGCTTTACTATAACAACACTATCAATCACACCTAAAAATTAATAATTCTTTAATATAATTAAATGTCCAACTAGTATTAAGATTTTTACAATTGTCTCATGAGGGGTTTTACCTCTTTTTAATACAGTTGATTTGTTTAAGATCTAAACAAGATCCAAATGCTGCGTTTAATATATTTCTTAAGTATCTTTTAACATATAGTTCTTTTTCTCTCTGTCCCCGCCCCCCCCACCTCCCATAATTTTGTTTGATAAATAAAGTTATTTGCCGGGGTGCCTGGGTGGCTCAGTCAGTTGAGTGTCTGACTTCGGCTCAAGTCATGATCTTGTGGTCTGTGGGTTTGAGCCCCACGTTGGGCTCTGTGCTGACAGCTCAGAGCCTGGAGCCTGCTTCGGATTCTGTCTCTGTCTCTGTCTCTCTCTCTGTCTCTCCACCTTCCCCACTCACACTCTCTCTCAGAAATAAAGAAGCATTAAAAAAAAAAGTTATTTGCCATATAGAAATTTTCACATTTTGGGTTTTGCTGACTGAATCTTTGTGGTGTCTAATGTGTTCTTCGGTCCACAGTATTTCTTATGAGTCCAGTTTCTTATAGGCTGGTGGTTAAATCCAGAGGCTTGATCAGACTTGGGTTTAATTTTTTGAAGGAATACTTCATACTTCTTTTCCATAATATCGCAAGGCAGTAGTGTTTGCTTCCCTCTCTGTGTTAAGACTGATCACTAGGCTCCAGTATTGTCAGCCTAACCCATCCATTGTAAAATTTCCTATCACCTTTCACCTAATGGTTTTAGCAGCCATTGATGATCTTATCCTAATTTTATCATTTTGTCTTCATTTATTAGTTGGACTTCTATAAAGAACTTTCTCTTGTCACCTTTTTTGTTTCCATGTAATACAATTTATACAGAAAAAGCAGTATAAACTTTTCAAATTGAGTTGGTTTCCTGAAATCTTCTAAAACTAATGAAAGGGTACTTTTTAATTTTTGACTGTTATTTTGAATCTCTCTTTCTCTCTCCTTGACACATAGATATATTAAGTGGGAATACTTCAATGTTAACAGTCTGTAACACAGCATGTGTGTATGTGAATTTAAAGTATAGCTCTCACATAAAAACATACAATTACTGAACTGTAGTCTGAAGATGTAGTAGAAAGACAGAGATACATACATGGATGTATGGATGGATATGATAGAAAGATGGCATTGCTTCTTTGTAGGGACAAAAATTCTCAGCTTTAATTGATATGAATTCTGTTCTCCTTTGCTACTTCCAAGCTAATGTTCTATAACACCACTCAGAGAAGCATTGTTGTTCCTTTCTTTAGAGGGAGCAAATGATTGGCAAAGATTCTGCTATGCTTCTGCTAATTTTCTCTTCCTAATTAGTGTTAGGGAAAATAGCTACAGCTGTAAGTTTAGATGTTTGAGTCATTATTTTTAATGTTCATATGGAACAACAAAGACAAAATGTAATAAATTATGAAGATAAGTTAGATGAAAAGTATACAATTATTTTACTCAGGTATGACAATTTAAAAAATGGGTCATTTAGGAAGAAACTTCATATTTCATATCTTGATAGATTTCATGTCTTACATATATTCAAATTTGATTTATAGTCATTTGAAAATACTTAACTAGAAATTGTGAACTGTGAAGACTTTGTAAGTGTGAATCTTCATTTTTTGAAGTATATAAAAATATTTTGAGATGTGTGGGTTGACTAGAGAGAGGCATGTGTGTTATCTTTCATCT